TTAACTTTGCCCATAAACTCGAAAAACGCTATCGATGTACTATTACTCATTCGTCTACATACCTGCGCCGGAGCATCGGGCGATACGGGCTTTTTGGTAACTACATATTTATGTAGTTCAAACGAAATCAAACACCTATTAACTCAAATAAAAAAGACCTGTGATAGTATTTCGAAGCACCAGATGGTAATTATGAATGCTGCCTATGGAAAGAATAAATAAATCTGATTTTAAATAGTTCAGACATGAATAATACCATCACAAAAATCAAAATCGTTTTAACAAAACATGGTGCAAGATACTTTCTTCTTTTACAACACTCTTGCTCTCACCACTCGAAGCAAAGTTGTATATACCTTCCAACTCTGCTTCGTTTTTTTACTGGGACTACACTCCACAGGGCATGAAATATGTATTTGACATGGATATTTTCAATTGTTGTTAGTGTGTATGCCCTAAGTATTGGAATTAGTGGTAAAAAACATAAAACATTATCCGCCTGTATTGCATCGTCCCTTCAATTATCCTGTCACAATGCAACTGATATTTCCAACACTTGTTGTTCAAACTATCCTGGTGGTCTTCTGTTACAGACACAGTTCTGGGATACAGATCCCGCAACAGGACCCAGTGACAGTTGGACTGTTCATGGTCTTTGGCCTGATTACTGTAACGGTAGTTTCGGTCAGTTTTGTGATTCGACACGCCAATACACCAACATTACAGCCATTCTCCAGTCATTTTACAAAGCCGAATTATTAGATTTTATGCAAACATACTGGAAATCAGATAGTGGCACGGATGAATCATTTTGGGAACATGAATGGAATAAACATGGTACATGTATTTCTACATTGGAACCGCGTTGTTATGAGAACTACGTACCACAACAAGAAGTAGCAGAATATTTTCAACAAGTTGTTGATCTGTTCAAAACGTTATCAACGTACACAATTCTTCAAACAGCAAACATTTCGCCGTCACTTACCAAGACATATACATTGGATCAGATTCAAACGGCTATACGACAAGCAACGGGACACAATGCAACTGTACAATGTGGTAAGAATAACACGTTGGATGAAGTATGGTACTATTTTAATGTACGAGGGCGAGCACAGGCGGGGAAATATGTGCACACCAATCCAAATGGATTGACAACAAGTTGTCCAGAGACAGGAATTCAATATTTGCCAAAATATCAGAGAGGCGTACCCGTGCCGGACATACCAGCACCATCAGCAGCAATTCTGAGTACTACTTTCAGTCTTATGATGATGGTATTCTCAATTGCAGTTGCAAGTACAGTATTATCTGTCTGTGAAGATAAATGAACTGAATGTTTTGTGACCATATCTTAACTTTTGATGCTGGCTGATTTTTAGAAAAACGAGACATACTAGTTGATTTTCATCATTTAGCTGTACTATATTTAATTTCTATTCCAGTTGGTTCAGTTACATACGATTTGAACGGGTGAAAAGACTAAAAACAATGTGTTATTGATTGTTTCTCAAGGAACGAAAGCTAGTTTGATATACTTTCAAAAGATAAAACGGTTGTGTAGTAATATCATCAATTGGTATAAATGGTTGTTTTTGAGTACGATTACGACCTGTTAATCATTGTGTTGTGGTAGTCGTGATAGCAGAAAAAAGATATATCTGGAATCAAAACCAAAAATGGTTTAGTTTAATCAAAATTACCACCGCTCTCGTCCCACTTTGTTTTCTTCTTACTAGAAGGGTAGTTATATTATTTAACATTTCTAGAAAACTAACCTGCACTTTTCACACACTATCTTAGTTTGCACAGAGATAAAGTGAAACAACACATAGAGTTATCTGTAATGATGTTTAATTAAGAAGAAACAACGAAATAAAATCTATTCGAAATAACGGCTCATTCTTAATTGAGAGCACTTTTTATAATTAAAGAAATAAAACTAATCTCAGTTTGGAAATGACGCATTCTAACAATTTTCAAAAGTGGAAAACGATTTTTCTATTAAGAAAAAAATGATCTCAGTCTGGAAAATGCGCTTTTAGAAAAAATTATTTGAATGAGCAGTTGGAAATAAAGTTTTAAATATAAAGTATAATACTGCTATGAAATCATAATAAAATTCTTCTGAATTTATTTAAACACTCGAGCTTTCGATCACAACTTAGATCATTTTCAAGATCTTGAAAATGATCTAAGTTGTGATCGAAAGCGGGAGTGTTTAAATAAATTCAGAAGAATTTTATTATGATTTTCATGAGCTTTTAGTTTCTAGTTTAATAAAATATGGATTCACAAACTGTATATAATATAAATTGTATATAATACAGAGAAGTGAAGTGAAAGTCTAAAACATTGTACGGAAATGTCTACGTTAAACAAAAGGTTCTCTTACATTAAAACCCAATGGAGTAATGATGGTATTTTATACAAAAGTTATCTTTATATTCTAAGACGTTCAAATAAAAATAATACAGAAAAACGGGTATGTACAATTCATTCATGCTCTTGTTCAATAACAACAAAAGATGATGCTATTATCGGAGCTAGTGGTATTGACAACCACGAGGTACATTATCCACAGGACGAAGCTAGATTACCACCAAATGTTTATGACTGTATTGGAGCCATTAATCGACAAATTGTGGAAGAGCAAACAACACTGGTAGCGCAAGTTTACAATGAGCAAGTAAAGAAATTTCGAAGTGAACATGGTTCAGCTGATACAATACCTATATTTGGTACGATTAAATCTTCGCTTTACACAACACGAGCCATGATACATCCTAAACTGCCCAAATCATTGTCTCTAATAATACCACCTCACATGACGCGTACTTCGCTAGATGAAACCTTCTTATTTTGTAACAATCCAGCCTCTTATTCAGCTTTGGGTTTTTCATTTTCCATTACCACCATCAACCTCCGTTTTAAAAAATGATGGCTAAGCAAATAACTAGGATGAATACAAACATATAATCATACTCGACAGATTCGCCTTTCTTTAGAATAACATACCCAGTGAATCGACTGTCACATACAACACTGCTTTCGAAGATGGAATATTACAGATCTAGATCACTGTGCAACAGAGAAACTTTAGTGATTTCCTTTTGATTACTGGGTAGTATGTTCCAGTTTTTCTTTTTCATTTATTTGAAACCAATAGGATTTGATAAGATTGTTATCCATTATTGTAATTAAACATTGAATAGACCGATCACTATAGTAGGTGTTTCTTGTCCTAAACGATTCGGTATAAATATAGATGTCAGACGTTACGGGTTTTCACACTTTGAATGCGTTACATTGGGATCTTTGCGCCTTGATGCATGGACGCTGAGCTGATACTGAATCTATATCCGATAATGAACAATCATGTGTAATCTTTGTGTCAACCTGTTTTGTTCTCTCTTTTCGCCTTTTTTGTGTTCTTTTCTTTTAACGTCTAAGCTGAGCAACATATGCAAAAGTTTTCTTTTTTTGATAGTGCCTGTTCTCCATCATGGGCTAACATTTCAAAATTGAAAATGAAATATTATGTGTGTTATGATACTCAAAAATAAAGATTTAATTTATTTAAATCTTTAATGTCCAAAAAACCTTTTGAAATCTATTTCAACACAAAAGCTATTCCAATACGATCTACATCGATAGAAAACCAATTGTGCACCAAGTTCGATTATTTCTAAGATTCTGTGATGATCTGTTCCAGCGCTGCGTCCTCTGAAACTGAAGGCGCACAGAGCTTTAGAAATAATTGAAATTGATGCAAAATTGGTTTTTCTACCGATGGAGATCGTATTGGAATGGCTTTGAGTAGAAAACGATTTCAAAACGTTTTTTTTTAGACCTGGTTTTTCATACATCGTCTGGAAACCTTGCAGTTTTTAACGATGAATCCGAATAGGCTATTGGTTTTGAGAAAAAATTGAAATTCGATGTGGAAAACTGCGAAATATGAGTGCATTTCCTTGATTTTGCATTTTGCATTTATAATCGATTGAACCAATGGTATGTAAAGTTTATTTACTCACAGTATTGTAGAGCTTTTCAAGAGCTATTTCTTTATACTAAATACTAGTTGGATCCTCTCTTGCTTAGGAGAGAAAATGGAAAAATATGATCATTCAAGTATGGTGGCCAGAGAGAGGATGCTTGTTTGCACACGGAGAAAAAAGTACTTAAACATCGCTTTCGTTTTTTTTTCTGATATCGTCTTTCAGGTACAATTTATCTCTTGTAAAAATAATTTCTTCCTATTGAAATGATACATACGGATTGTATATAGGGTATTTTATTCAGTTTTTCACTGACTATTTTTTCATATTACGGTTTGACTGAAACCTATGCTGGATTTTTCAAAAATGTTGTTTGTTCTAATAACGACGTCCTCTAATGGAATCTCAAAATAATCAACCTTAAAAACGTATCTTGAGCTTGTTTTTCATACAAACAATTGAAAAGTGTGTACAAATGACTTTTCTACAAAAGTCGTGTGAAAATGAGCAAAACAAACAAGAAACCATTTTCTGATCAAGTTACCTGATCCGCGATGGATCATGTGAAATATGTTTCTTTGGATTTAACAAAAGTAATGGCTGCTGCCATCAATTCGAAGGTATACCTTTCAAGGGGAATTTTTGCATAACGCAGCAAAACGGCTAAGAAACGTCGTTGGAATGGTGAAAACCTCAAAAATGAAAGTATTTTAGAAATAATATTAAAAAGTCAGTTTCACACTCATTATGAAAAACAAGTTGGTTTCGGCGCTTTTTCGCTCGTCAGATATTTTTCCACAAAAACGGGAAAAACTCGCTATCTGAAAATTGGATTGTTAGACATTTCTGAACTGAGAAAAACGCCCATTGCGAGAAGATAGAACAGAAAATGAGCTCTTAATTATTTAACCTTTGCTCACGTCTAAAATTTCATCCATCTTTGAGATTTTCACCATGCAGACGGCTTTCAGGCTGTTTTAATTCAGCGAAGATTGCTGCCATGCAAATGCTTTTCTTTGCTGGCGCATCACACATCGAAAATACGTACCACTCGTCTTTATCACAAAAAGCACTGAAACATTTTTCTCTAGAAGAAGAGAAAATTTAGATTCTAGAAACCAAGTCTAAAAGAAAGAAATGGGCAAGTGATCTTTGAATTTTTCGAAGTCGATTATATACGGTGGTGTCTAAAGTGGTCCTCTATGCTCTGCTTTTCTTTATGTTTCTATAGCTGGGATCATGGAGCCATCACTTATTTCGGACGGTGACCCAATTCGACCTTAGCATAGGAAACGTATCCCGCTTGATTCTTTCCAGTTTTTTTCGACGCTCGGCAATCTCTCACAGCTTGTTCGATTCAAACTAAAAGGATGAACACAATTGAGGACCCCCAAAGATAGAAGACCTCTCTTGAACTCATAACACAAAAACTAAGTTAGAAGACCGCCTTTTTTTTATCGACTCTTTGACCCAAAATATGGTGATTTTTGAGTTGAATCAAACGCTAACTTTTGCGTTTGTCTTTTTGCTTTTTTTTTGTAAGTGTAATATGCGATACACTCATAGGCTGACTCAAAATGATAAAAGAATAAAAATAAACAGCGGTCATCAGCTGAATAAACCAGTACACAGCGCGAACTCTCGATCAAGCGATTTCAGCTCAAAATCGGCTTTGTTTTTAGGAACGCTTTAGAAGACCCCCTTTAAAGTTATGAGTACTAGAACGCGATATAAGACCCGGGTCTTGTGTTGTGTCCATCCCTTTGGTGGCTAACGTGACGGCTGTCCTTAAACAAGCTTACAATATCTGTTCGCTCGACTTGGCTTTCGTTCATTTCGAAGAAAATCTACAATAACAGCGGCGAATATCTGTTCGATGGTACCGACGCATGTGAAACATTTGGGAGTGAAAATAGATGATTTTCATGAGATGCCAATGATTCTCGCAACTGAACCAAAACTTTCCAAGTGCCAAAGTTTATGTTGGTCGGTGCAGGATCTCCCAGGAGATCATTGATTGGCTTACACAGAAGAAGCACAATATATTAGACAAACTGGAATTCTCTGGACGTGCGGTTCTGAAAAAATATGCTCAAACTGGATAAAAACCAAATCGATCGCAAACGTATGAAGTTCAATATCGATCATCATGACAAATTACTTATTTGATTATTTAATACTATGAGATGAAGGATTTACAGATGCAAGAAAATATCTGGTCACCGTCTTAATGTGTGTCGGGGCTTTATCGAAAAGAACTGCATTTCGATAAGTCCATATTGTTTTAGAATCGTTGATTCAGGCAACATCAACAGGATCAGCCGGCAAACTTATCTACAATATCTCGAATGATATTAGAAGGTGCCAAAACAACCACAAAAGTTGAATTAAACTCAATACTGAAAACATATCTTGTCGGTATCAAAGTGTCAGATATCCAAGCTAATCGATCGGGCACGTTCACATTACAACGAATCCAGTCTTTTACAACAGCGCTCACCAATTGCATTGCCTCTGGAACAAAGCCATCGATAAAACCGATTAGCCAGTCATTAAAAACTTCGAACCAACGAAACCAGTAGTCACCTAAAATGAAAATAGCATATGATGTATTAATGTAGACAGGTTTCGTATCCTTCGTCAGTACATTAACAATATAATAGTGAAACGATCGAGCTTTATGAACCATAAAGCAAATATGCATGTTATGCAGTGCATCGCTAATAAAAAGAAAAGAAACAAAGCAACAGCAAAATGAACTATTAAATGACGAATGTGTACCCGACGTAATGAAATGTTCATATGTGATTCGATTCTTCGTCAGAAGAATTATTTACATTATCATGAATCTGCCTCGTGCTTTTTGGTTAATCATCAATTCTTGTGTTGTCATTGCCCATATACTGCATTTCTTGCATTGGGAACTCATTCTGAATCGATTGGGTGGGCATTTATTCTGATCCCATTTGTGAGGTGACAAAAAATATTTCCAGGAAAAAGGAAAAAAAGTTATTAAGATTTTAATTATTAGAAGTTAATGTACTTCTAATAGCGGATGGACATCAAGTACGCGGGGTTTCGTTGGACCACCAGTCTTCCTTTGTAGAGATACATCTTTCAACAAATTTCATTTTCCAATATAATTTTAAAACTTCATCCCTGAAATATAACTACAGAAAACCGAAAAAAACTGTTGAAAAAACTGGTGCATGTCTAAGTTTAGGTATGGTTTTGTAGAGTCTTTCGCGGCGCATATTTTTTAATAAAAGCAGTAACTAAACAGGGTCCTAAAGCAACACGAGAAAAGTAGAAAATACATTCATTATGACGCACCTGATACATGTAAAATGTTTCTTTCGTTCTATCATCAGAATACAGTTCCTATAGTTTGCAAAGATTTTCGCTACAAACTATCAAATAACAGCTCTCCTTGTCTTTTCTTATTTGGTAACTGAGTAGGTGCGAATAGCTTAGATATCTTGAAGTAGCACTGATATGTGTATATAGTAATCATATTATCAATTTCAAAAAAAACTAATTAAAAGAATTTTAAAGCATACAGAACCATACCAAGAAATTTGAGAAAAGAGAAAAAGATTATATATCTACAAATAAGGGAATATTTCTTAATTCTATTCTTTAAGAGGTGTACCAAAACAATCTTTTCTTTCCATATGTTTTATCAAGATTTATGTAAAATACTAAAATAAATAATAAAAATATTTGAACAGAAATATGAAGCTATGAAACTTTTTGAAATTAGATATTTGATTATTCGAAAGTGTTATTATGACGATTAACACAATTTTCTTCCAAAATATGCTCTGTTTTCCACTCATTCAAACTTATATTATCGGTACAGAACTGTCATCATTTGGTATTATAAACTTTTAAAAATTATTGGATAAAACAGATATGCAGCATCCGTCTTACACTTATATTAATCCATCTATATTAAAAGAACAAATATGGCGAGACAAATTTCCATTATCAATTGTAGCTGTCATTGCTATAGGACAACTATTATTAACACTTGTAATTTTTGGTTTAGAAATTGGACATAATGTACTAAACATTCGTGACACTAACCTTTTTNTTTTTGAGACTAATCATTAACGACAGATTTAAAAATAAAATAGACGCTTCTCAACTTTCTCTCCACTATCTGACACTGGACATCTTTTTTTCTTTTTCCCTTGCTGGATTCTGGTGTTCTGTTCCATTTTCAATAACATGGATCTCAATGATGGGACTTAGTAAGAGACTCATACTTGTGTTTATTGATTTATTTTTAGCATGAAATTGTGTTTTGTGATTGTTTAAATCTTTCGAATTCTGATGTTCGTGAGATACGATATTATGTAAAATTAATGCGCTTCATTGTAATTTTAGTTTGTTGCTGTAGACGGCACCGTGGCTGTGCAACACATGCATTGATTGAAAATGTTCTATCTCTCATATTTGCCTGTGTTCTTGTTGCAATCAATGCAAAATTTATTCAAAATCCTAGGAACAAATGTTATTTTACTGAATCAATATGTTCTAATACCAACTGGATAACTGCAATATATGATTACGCAGAATGTGGTGTTGTCGATCGTCATGGTCAATGTGGCAATACACGATTGAATATTATTAAAGGACAATTAGCTGCTGCTGTTTTAATGTTAGCTATATGTCTAGTCTATATCATTTTATACATTGTTACTGTTATTTTTGTATCAAGATCAAAACAGCCGGTAATAACAACAATGAATTCTGCCTCACCGCCAAGACCTACAATCATACAACAGCAACCACCTCCAATCTATTATCAACAAACGCAGGCATCCTATCCAAAATTAATGAACGAGAGATTTTAAACACATATAAATTGGTCTATTTTTCCATCATCGATTCTAAACTTGTACTTATACCAAAAATAAGAAAAATGCTCAGAAACGGAACAATGACAGCTTCTGTAATGAACGCAATACTTCAAACATGTGATAATTTGTGAATCCTGCTGTGCTCTTAATTTGTCAAAGTTGTTAAACTTGAGTTTACCCTATCTTATTTAATAAAAATAAGCTTTGTTTATTCAGCTCATAAATAAAAAAGGAAAAACTACTATATTGATCAAAAATTTTATACTGTTTAATGAGGCAAAGTATTATATCAGAACAGAGCAGAGAGCGCTAAATATTTGGAAATTATACTCATTAAAATTAAACAGAGAAAAGAAAGACTAACATAGGAGAGAAACAAAACCAAGAGAAAATATATATTAAGAGATGATTTTTCATCGCTTTTCCATAGGTGTCAACTGATACAGTGAACTATCTAGGTCTAATCATGATTTCAAGTACCGATACATTTTCATCCTACGGTACTTATTATTTCACACGATCAT